TTAATTCAACCCAGTCGTTTCTATTGGATGAATGCCTCATTATACAGAAAATACAATGCCGTGAATGACTTGAATAAATGAATAACGTGAACAAAAACATAGAACAATGAGTTCCCTATCCTTCTCTTCTATTATCTATGGTACGAGGTTGCATGCAGAGGCGCCGTGTGACTGTGCTCGCTTGAATCATAGCTTGAATACATAAAATACAATGTTTTTATCATTGATTGCTCGTGTAAAATTGACTATAAAATGATATTAATAGGAAATTACACTTGTTCTCGAAGTATTAATGAAAATATAATCACACTTGTGTTTGGCGAAATATTTATAATAGGCCTACCGCTCGTGCTACGCACTCGCGGTATTACTGATAAATATTTCGCCAAACGTACACGCGTGCGATTTTTCATTAATACTTCTCGAACCGTGTAATTTCCTATACTAATTGTGATTTATTCAGTATATATTATAAAAAATTATAATACTGGACGAAGAAATGTTTTAGCATTCGACTTCGACGATGTGTCGACTTCGACCACGAATTTCAACTTCCACTTCAACGAATTTCAACTTCCACTTCAACGAATTTCAACTCGACTTCGACGAATTTGTACTCGACTTTGACGATTTTTTCCTCGACTTCGACGAATTTGGATTGAAACAGATATTTGGACATATGAAAATGATATGTACATGTTCGTAATTTTGTCCCCTTTGGGCAAGCATATAGGTCCCGATAAGTGAGAGAATACATGCACTAACTACAACATGACGTGTAGATCCTAAGTGTGCGTGCTGAATTGCATTTCAGAAAAAAAAAATTGAACCAAAGAAAATTATTCCCCTGGGAGGTGCCACGAAATTGCTTTTCTATAGTCACTTTTTCGCACAACGGCCCACGGCCTAAAACAGTATTTGAAAAATACGCTGTCAACGTCATCTGACGACATCATCAACTGCCAACATTCGGAATTAACATTCGGTAAAACCTGAAATCGCCCCGATTAATCGTTGTGTGTAAACGTAGCTTAAAGGTAGCTTACACGCTGCGATATGTCGTGTACGATTCGTATTCTGGCGTATGTAATCGAATAAGCACGCGTAAAGTGATTGCATTTCACATTTTGCCATAATCTGTACGACGAGGAATTGTGGCGTCAGCAGTAAATTTCATACGCCAGAATACGAATCGTACACGACAAATCATAGCGTGTAAACGTATCTTTAAGGTCCAGACACATCGGACGCGATGCGACAACGCGACGCGATTTTCCGACTTTCACTAACCGATAACTTTGATTCTAGTTTAAATTTTCCAAATATTTAGAAGCGGTATAGCATTTTGAGTTATTTGGTCTACATATCTTTAAAAATTTGCTCCCATTGGTTGTTTTATTAAATTTCAAAAACTAAAAAATCGCGTCGCGTACTGTCGAATCACGTCCGGTGTGTCTGAACTTATAAGACGTGCCAATAAAACCCGAAATATGTGAAAATCACTGGAATTAATAAATTATAATTTTTTTGGCAAAAGCAAAACAGCTCGTGGGACGCCGCAACCGTAACTACAGTATACGAAGTGTCGGAAGTATGAATTACATACTGCGTGCAAATCCATCGTGCTTTTCGCGCTTAGAGGTCGTTGGTTTTGACATGGAAAAGACAACCTTAATTGAATTAACTGTATATACATGCAAGTAAAGTAGAACGATGAAACTATTAAAATGTCAAAATTAGAATACTAACTTCCGGGAATGTTTCGCCCCCCATCAGTAAAATTTACTCCGACAAATGTTTTGGAGATCTTTATACATTATTGCGGTAGAATAATCATAGTATCAATAGGCAAGTGAATGGATTACAGTTTATAACTTATAATACAGTATATACGCTATTTGATTTTGAAAAACGTAGAAAACGTTTTGTGAAAGTGAATCATTATAGTTAATAGAAACACAGCAAATATTTTAAGGAAGTTTTGCAGTGCAACTACGGAGGCGGACAATAGTATAAAGAAAATAATAAAATTATTGAAATTTTTGGCAATTTAAGAAAACAGTTCTGACTATACTTAGGTTAATTAGTGTTGACGACACCGGAACTTTTACCAGAGATCGACATCATAATTACATGTTATTAAAACATCGCTTAAATTCTTGCTGCTTGAATTACGTCTATTTTTTCGATTGGGTGTGCGTTGAATAATAGGAATGTCGGTGAGGGTTGGGGATATTGTGTTATAAGAAAGGCAATTAATAGAGGAAACACCAAACAGTTGTAATCATTGTAAGGAAGTCATTCTTCATGTAAGCATCCTCGCAAACCAGTGAAAAAAGTTAAAGCCAAAGACGTCTATTATATCAGTGATAGTGTGACAGGCATCTAAAATATACTTTTGGTGAGTAATGCTTACATAATTTTTATGGGTTTTTTTATTGTAAAAGATTTACAATAAAAAATTGAATTAAATCAGACTTTTCACGTCTTTCCCAGTTTTAAAATAACAGATAAATAATATACTATTATTTATTCGCTTTGCCTAAATTTTTAAAAATAATGTCATTCAACTTGAAAGCAACTTTCTGTCCCTCATAATTCAATAAGTTTGGAATTGATTAAATATTAGGT